AGAGTTACGGCGCTCCACGCAAAGGCTCTCGCTCCGCCGCACATTCCTAAACACCCAAGAGAGGGGGGGGGGTTGAGGAAAGGGAAAAGGTAGAGGAAAAAGAAGAATAAGAAAAGGAACGAGAATGGAAGTAGGAGGAAAGGAATAGAAAGGGAAGGAAAAAATAAACAAAAGAACAGGAAAAGGAAGAAGAAGAGATAGAAAAGGAGAGGAAGGAAAGACCACGGAATGAAAAGGGGAGAAGAGAAGATGAGAAAGGGGGAAAGAAAAAGGAATAAGAAGCAACGGAAAGAAAAGGAAGGAAAGGGGGAGAGGAAATGAATGGGGAAATAGGAAGAATAAGGAAAGAAAAATAGTAGGAAGAGGACAGAAAGAAAGGAAAAAGCAAACAAAAAAAGGAAAAAGGAAGTGGAAGGAAAGGAAAGGAAAGGGAATAAAATAAAAGAAATGAAAAAAGGAAAGGAAAGGGGAAAAAGAAAAGGAAGGAAAGGAAAAAGGAAACAAAAAAAGAAAGAAGAAAAAGAGGAAGGAAGGAAAGAAGTAGAAAAAGGAAACAAAAAGAAAAGGCAATTATAGGAAGAGGAATAAGAAAAGGAAGCAAATGAAAAATGAAATGGGGAAATAAAGAATGAAAAAAGAAGGGAAGGGAAGGAAAGGAAAGGAAAGGAAAGGAAAGGAAAGGAAAGGAAAGGAAAGGGGTAATGAAGTAGCAGAAGGAAAGGAAAGGAAAGGAAAGGGGTAATGAAGTAGCAGAAATGTGGAAGGGACAGTGGATGATAGTGAGGTTAAAGACCACAGACCAAAGGTAACATGAACAGATGACAGAAACAGAAAATTGAACAGTGATGAAGAAGAAACAGTAAGTGAAATGTGAAGACAAATAATGTCTAAACCAATAGATATCCTGTTATTAGCACTAGTTCACCAGGGAGATTCATTCAGCCCCATCAGTTCAAAGACCCTTCTGGTATCCACATTAACAAACATCTCCAGCTCTTTCTAATGTGTCATTTACAGCATATCAGTGCATTTGAACACCTCAATTATACTAGTATAAAACACTATCAGCTAATAAGTGGGCTCCATTCGTGCAAAGCGTCCCAAAAAGCAGATACTTCTGCCCTCAATCCCTAAAGCCCAAAAACCTGAGAAGAACCATACTTAGCCATGCAGTGAGTATGAGTGTCTGTGTGAGTCTAAATATGAATCTAAAGCTTAAAAACCATGCCATTCATTGTACAATGTTTTCTGAATAATAAAATGTAATATAATTTGTTTTTAATAAGAGAACATGTGTGCATCAGTAGCAGTTGAGGCTGGCAGAAAATCCCAGAGACAACCATGCAGACCCACCTTGTCTTCTTTCTGTAAAAACATAGGGCGAACGAACAGTTACAGAATAACCGAGAACAAATCGTCTATTAACAAACACCCAACCAAAACTTCCAACTATTACCTCAACGCTTCCCTGAACACAATCTCAAGGCCAGCAACAAAGCGAGACAGAGCGTACAACAACGGACAACAGCAACGAACAATGCTCCCACATGAAGGACAGTTGCGCGAGCAAATGCACAGCTAATCCAGTTACAGACGTTTTATGTCATATACTGTAAACAGTAAGGTAAAGAAGCTACATTAAGTTTCTAAGTCAAGTTTATGTTTGAAATCCAGAATGTTGCTGTTTCAAATCCCACAAGTAAATATCACCATTGTACCTGTAACTGCAGAACATCAGGTTGCTCCATCAAAATATATGTGCACTGTAAGTCACTTTGGATGACAGCATCTGCTAAATATATTCCTACTAATTGAAGAAGCAAAAACACAACCTTTCAAATAGTTGGGCAGTCATAATATTTGCTCAAATTCAGACAGAATCTGCCTATTTTGATGGCGTCATGCCTTGGCGCAACATTGCGGAACATAGCGCTGACTGGATGCGAAGAAAGACTGTAAAACACGGGTAAACTAAACTGAAAGCTAACAAAAATGACTGACATTGCAAAACATCAGGTGGGACAAGGAACAAACAGACATAAAGGTAAAAAAACAAAAGGAGGCAGCAAAATGCAGAGAAAAAAAATGAAAGTGGGAAGAAAGGGAGTTAGGATAGGAGGGGAAAGGGAGGGAGGCATGTATGCGCAGTAAGGCACTGTCTTGGTCTTTGTTGTCCTTAAGGAGGGTAGCGTATATTGCGGGCAGCAGCAGGAGCAGCAGCACAGGAGGGACACAGCACACTGCTTCCAGACAAAGCAGCCAGGGAGTTTTTACACCCTTCCTTAGTTATGTTTTATCTGCTTCTCATTCCTGTTCCTGCTTTCTTACTTGCCACTGTCCTGACTGTCATCTGGAAGGATATCAATGCCCCCACCAGTGCTGACAGGAGATGCATCTCCCCCCACTGAAACTGGTCTGGGGTCTGAAAGATTGTTGTTAACACCTACAGGAGGAAAGAGACAACATTTCTACATATGAAACACTAGGGTGACATTCAATAATATCAAAGCCCACTTATAGCATTATATATTTGTATGTGTTGTTTCACACTGCATCTAGGTATCACAATATATTGGTACCAGTTGTCAGTTGATATTATAGATTTACAAAAAAAAAAGATTATTGCCATCAGCTAATATTAGAAATTTAATTGAACCAGAGTTATAATCGTTAACTGAAACTAAAACTATTAAAATAATTTTCATTAGTTTAAATAAAGTTAAAAAAAACAAAAAACAAATATTACATGAAAACCTGGACAATGAAAAGTAGAAATGTTGCCTTGGCAGCTAATTGAAATAAGTTTACGGTGAAGCACTGAAATAAAAGAGGAAAAAAAGAGAATATAAATATTACTAAAATAACACTGAATTGCACACAGTAATTTTTACATTTAGATTACCTGCTATCTAACGCTCACAAAATGTTAAATCATTAAAAACATTAACTACGTAATAATACAGATAAATTGTAATCTTTAGCAAATCTCAAAATGACATTTTTTTCATAATTCATTTTTTTTGCATGTAAATTTTAGTTAGTGTTTTATTTTATTTATTTGTCAGCCGTTTATTTGTTAATGGCCATTGGCCATAACATGAAAATAATTATTGGTTTGCCTGTATCGGCCACAATTTTAATATTGGTGCACCCCTGATTAAGTATGGTGGCAGTGCAGCTTTGTATAAATTACTTTCATTCCCCTTTATATTTCCAGAAGACTCACATATACCATGTTAGTCGATTTCCCACATGTCCAATGTGCTTAAATCTAAAACACATAAGCGGCATTTTCCGACCCTCACCCGTGTCACTCTGAGAGTCGGGACTAGGAGTCACACTGACGCTGATGGTCTTCTCTTCACTGCTCTCCGAGCCATGTGTGCTACCTGACCCTGCCACACCAGGTTTCCGCACTGGAGTGGTGCCACTATCACTTATGGACACTCGATGAGGTGGGACGCTTGGTTTGGTTTGCTTTACTAGACCGAGAAAAAGTAAGAGAGAAAAGAGAGAGATAAGAGGAAGGATCAAAAGCAACATAAAAACTGACAGATGATTGTGTGATCATTGTGTGGTTTCTAACAAGTAGATGTGACAGATGGACAACTAGATGAGAGAGGAAATCAGGAGTTTGATCCAACAGTGTTAGTCATTCATTGAAAGGGTGTTTCAAAGGTCCAATAAGGCCATAAATCTTAAGTAAAAGGGGACCCAAACACAAACAAACACCACACACAAAAACAGCGCAAAGTATAATCTGAAATCTGTTCGTGAATACATCACCTGTGGTATATTGAAGCATTAAGATCATGAAAAGATTTGTAAGCAAGCATTAAAAAAAATACTTTTTGAAAACGTTATCACAACCAAAGCCACCTCAACCAGAAAATCAAATCAGATTGGCTAAATAGATGGATAAGGAAACGAAAACAACAGACAAACCCATGTGTTTGAAGTGGAACATGCAAACATGCATTAGATTTGATTAGCAAGGGAATGTACCATCCAAGAGGAGAGGATCTACACAAAGAACAGACCATAATACCTTCAAAGTCCAATCTAGTTTGCTTACCATCATCTGCAAGAGGAAAACATAGCAACACAAACAAGTTCCTTTCAATTCTACATCAATCTTTGATCTTGCAGGCATTTCAATAAATATATGATGAATGTTTCTCATACTATAAGCTACAGAAGCTCCTTCTGGTTTCTGTGTACATTGGTCTCAATGATCTTAACAGGTGTCTGAGATGTTATGGGTAATTAGTGTAAATGGTTGAATGCAAATCGATGTGCACAGTGAAATAATGCAGGTTTGGTCAATGAGCGTGTGATGTAAGTAGGGTGTGTATTCTGAGGGAGAGCGATGAAGAGATTGTACTGAGTACGTACGGGTGAATGCAGAAGGTTTGACTATTTTGTTTGGTTTGTTGGTTCCCCATGGCTGTTCAACAGAAAAAGAAACAATACTATTAGACAAGATAACACAAATTCAGATCATTAAGTGAAAATCAGAAGAATTAAGTTGTATACTGAACTATGGAGCATATCATCTAACCTTCAGCACAGAAGGGACAGAGGGCCGCCATCCTGACTTAGTCTTCTTGTTGTCACGTGCTCTGGTCTTGACGCTAAGGTGCTTCATATAAATGGCAACTGCTCCAAAGATGCAGTTACTAAAGGAATAAAAGAACAGAAATGGTTACAAAGAATATTGAAATTTGGGGGGGAAAGCTGCTTTATAGCTTAATCTGTTACTTCAACAGTGTAATTCTGGGGGAAAAAAGGTCATGTTATTTAGGGTTTTTGTCACCCTTTGTGTGACACTTGATGGGTTTTAGGGTGGTTCACAAAATGTTGGTATTCTAAATAAACTCAGACCATCAGCACTTACAATTCACCTAATTTGTATTACATTGCATATACAATTAAATTACTGCTTAAAAGTTTGGGGTCAGTAAGATTTTTGAAAGATGTCTTTCATGCTCATCAAGGATGTATTTATTTGATTAAAAATAAAGCAAAAACAGTGAAAAAAATTATTCAAATTAAAAATAACTGTTTTCTATTTTAACATATTTTTCATATATTTAATATCATATATTTAAAGTGTAATTTATCCGTGTGATGGTAAATCTGAATTGTCAGCAGTCATTTTACCAGTCTTCAGTGTCACACGATCCTTCAGAAATCATTCTTAATATGCTGATTTGGCGCTCAAGAAACATTTCTCATTAATTATCAATGTTGAAAACAGTTGTGCTGCTTAATATTTTTGTATATATTTCTTTTTTTCACAATTCTCTGATGAATAGATTTTTTTTACATTACAAAATGTCTTTACTATCACTTTTGATCAAATTAATGCATCTTTGCTGAAAAAAGTATTTATTTCTTTAAAAAAAAAAAATCTTACTGACCCCAAACTTTTGAATGGTATTGTATATTTTTAGCCCTCTGAGTTCACTATACAAAAAAATAATGAATGTCACACAGTTGCAGTGAGACACGGTGTGTGTACAGAGGTATTTTCCTCCTGCATGTACTGAAAAAGTGCAACTGAAGTCATGTGATCTGCGACTAGTCAGTGCAATCCCCTAGCGTACTATCAAATTGTCCATGTACCTCATAGGGAATCTTAATATTGGCATCAAGCCATTTCCTTCACTTTAAAAGAGCAGCAGAATCTCCAGTAAAGGAGGAGAAAGAGAAGAGGGAGAGGGAGGAGGACTGGGAAGGGGAGGGACAGAAGTCTGGAGGAGGAGACTGTGCACATGTGCATGCCCATTGTCTCATGCACACATGGATTAAGTGATGCAGCTGTGCATGACAAAATGAACAAATGCAACAGCTGCAAGCATCCACTAACAGCCTTTCTCACAAACACATTGTGCGCCATCTAACTTCAGCCTGGAGTTCTTTTCATAATACATGTTTATATTGCATTTCTTAGCAAGACCAACCAAACAATATAAACTGGAATGACTGATAACTTCATGAAAACAAAATTTTCATTTGAAAAGATGTTTACAACTACAGAAAAGTAAATAAATACAACTACATTAAAGTGACTGTTTAATGACTTTAATGACATACACAGAAACCAAACAAAAAGTTATAAAGACACAAAACAACACACCAATCTATAATGTAACAATGATCACATAGAAAAAGATCTGCACTTAAAAAAAAAGACAAGAAGATAAAGAAAAAAGACAACTCACCTTTTGTCCTTGTCGGCAACAATTGAGGGGCTGCAAAAAGCAAAACAGAAATAATTAGAGGGATATCAAAGGAAAAATGCAGTATAATGCTGGTCTTAAGGACTCACCGCTTAAAGTTAAGTAACATTTTTTCTCCCTCGTTCTCTACCGGTTTTTAACTCTTGTTTTAGGACGGTGGAATCTGAAGTGTTCAAGCTTTTCCTGACTCAAAATGACAGTAACTGTTGTATTGTTTGTAGAATTCAAACTAATGAACATATTCTTTCACTTGCAAATGAAAATAAATAAATAAATTTAAAAAAAGATCTACAAAAAATGGTAGTGCATCAAAAATTGCACTCCAGGCAAATTTTGAAAAACAAAACAATGCAATGAAACGGTCTCTTGCAAACCTAGATGTCTGATCTACTGTACACTATCTTCTCAAACTGCAAAAACTATGACGACACTCTGCTAAGGCATTGAGATTGTCCTACGGCGATGTCCAGAAGCAAGCGAAGCGCTCCGGCAGTGGAACTTGCTATTTAACTGTGTTTTTGCCTGATGCAACCGGCATGCAAGAACATGGAAATCAGACACTTATGTTTTCCTATGATAATAAAAAAAAATGAGGAGTGTGATAAGGAATCCCCATCGTCTGGCCAGTCAAAAACCTTGATCCGCCTCTCAGATTAAGAGTGCAGCCAATGAGAGCGTCTGTAAGTGAGGTCATTACTGTTGTACTGAGGGAGGAGAATGAATGAGGGGGAAAAAAACTGAGCGAGAGGAAGCGGATAGTGTTTGGGAAAACAGAGGACGATTGTGTGAGTGCATATGAAGACTGAATACCCATATTGAGGCCACTTAGACATCAAAAGAATCCGTGTGAAGTCTCTGAGGACGCATTATGACTCTAATAATGTCACTGAATGTGTGAGACACAATGTCTTACATGCATTTTTTGGCAATGCAGCCTCTATATCTCTTAATGTCACTTTACCCTGGTGGAATATTAACTGTCCTGTCTCATTGCAAACCGGCTTTTGTCTCTTGCTCTCTTTTTTTTGTCTCTGGCCTCAAACCTGACCCCTGCCTCATCCCCCTTTCCATCATTCTCTCTGGCAGAGAGCCAGAGATCAGAGACTTCCTGCCAGCGTGGCACTTCTGACTCCATCCTCTCTCTACCACTTCCTCTCTCTTTGCCACCATTTCTTTCTTCAAGATTAATAGGACAGACTTCAAGTTGTAACATTGTGTGTTTTTAATAGAAAGAACAGGTGTGCCTAGGAAGAGCATCCAAACCACCTTGGACTGCAGGATTCACGACTGCCGAGTGCTAAAACAAATGGAGTCTGAATCAAATGTTAAGATATAAAGACTGCAAAATAAATGCAATATAAATCTAAAACAACATGGCATTCTGGCTGGCTGCATACTGAACTTCCGATTCATGAACAAATGTCTCTTATAAGCCAGTTCTTTTAATCAATCACTTAAAAAGAATCACAAATGATCACAGTTTGATGAATCCTTACTTGAGCATTACTGAATCAACATCTGACTCACTATTCTCAGTCATTTCCAACATATTAATGGCTGCTGAAAATCCAGCTTTGCCATAACAGGAATAAATAACATTTTAAAATATATTAAAACAGAAAACACTTTTTTCAAATTGTAATAACATTTCACAATATTACTGTATTTGAGATTTAAAAAAAAGCAGAAAAAATGGTGAGCATAAGGGGCATATTTAAAAAATGGGGCATCTTCCACAGTCCCAACTTCTGAATGCTACCGAATACAAAATGTATTATTGTTTTCATATATGCAGATAGGAACTACACAACACATGGTCCACAGGATAAACCTTTTAACCGAGGGATGTGTGTGGTTTTTTTACTGTACAGTGTGCAGTGAGCACCAGTTTATCCATGCTGGCTTTTATTGTGCAAAAATAATGAACTGAAATCAGATTGTCAGTGTGTGTTCAGTGGAGGCAAAAGGCTCAACAGTCTCCTCCTGTCTCACGTCCTGCATGGGGTCCTCACTTTCCGTGGGGTGTAATATTAATGCTTACAGCCCCACGTTTACCCTCTAATGTGAATCTACTGCACTCATTGACCCTTCATGATGAACTAACAATTAAAGAACCCAAGTTGCTTTGCTTAAAGGAACAGTTTTCCTTTCCTTGGCAATTAGATTTCTTTTTTACACTCACATTCACGTCATCAGTATGATTTACTTCCATGGAATGCACAAAATATTTGCAAGGATTGGAAACTGAAATATACTGGTATTAAAATTCTGTCTTATATCATTAGACATGTTCATGTAATGCTGATAAATGGCAGATATTTGCATTCGTTTGATCGAAAATACAGTAAAAGAGTAATATTGTTTTGTGATGAAAAAGAACAGCATTTATTTGAAACAGAAATCTCTTGTATTATTACAAATGTTCGTATTGTCACTTTTGACATTTAAATGTGTCCTTGCGAAATAAGTCTTAATTCCTTTTTAAAAAATTCTGATCGTAAACTTTAACTGTTGTGTAAATTAAATAAATAAACAAATACACACACTAAAAACTTAAATCAATCATTTTAAAAGTGAATTTAATTACTTTATAACAGTATGAAAAATATGTAACAATAAGGGATGGCTAAATATCCAATACTGACCAATACATTTCTTAAAATATCTCTATTATTGGCAGATAATCATTATGGTACCAATATACTGTGGGAATACAACTAGGAATACAGCACATAAGTCATATAGACTACACTCATTATTGTTTTGTTTTGTTTGTACTTTTTGTTCTGGAAAAGAGCAGCCTTGTCATTGTACTAAATATCTCCTAAATATCTGTGTTTTAAGAAAAACTGAAAAATTATATTGGTTTTAAACCATGTCCATTTTAGGTAAACAACCATTTAACTTTTGCCTTACGTTTTCAAAAGGTGACTGAACTGCATCAGTTTAAGCAAAGAAGCCCCATCTACAACAAAAGAACAATTTTAGAGCCAAGAATGAAACTTCAATGGATACATCAGCTGATCTTTATAGTTAATTGAACTGCATATAAAGCACAACAGAGAGTGGAGTGAATTCTGATACTGCTATTATAGAATTCACTGCAAGAGGTCAAACAGCCCAGCAGCAAGAAGATCCTGTGCAGTATGACACATTCAATAGGCATCACTTAGCAGCCGGTGAGTGAATATCGACAGAGACTCAGGGGTTCTGATCCGCTGTGAATGCAGATTTGACAATAGCTGTATTCTGTCTAGGTGAATCGAGAGGGAGAAGTGTTTGTGATGCTCTTCCCCACTGCATAGATGGTGTTTGACTCAGCAGGGCACCACAAAAATCCCACAGCAGACAGTTAGAAACAGGCTCAGATTATAGGTTAGGCACTGCGGAGGGCAGCAATAGGCAAAGGTCTGGCTCTGTGTTTCAGACAAGACCAGAGCACCTGCTGGTTCTCTTACAACCATGACATGAGAGTCAAATGGCGCTTTTCCACTGCATGGTACAGCATGGTAAGGCTCGGTACGGTTCACTTTTTGGGGGTTTTCCACTGGGTACAGTACCTGGTACCGTCAAAAGAGAAAACAGACACCCTGTAAACTCACCGTAACAAATGGGATAATTCCACCAAAACTAGGGATGCATTAATAGCAATTCTAAATTTATAAACTATAAATTAATCTGTTAAATAAGATAATATTAATAATAATAACCATTTTATTTTATTTGTCAAATGAATGTGTGTGTGTGTGTGTGTATATATTATATAGCGTCTGGGTATGCAGGGTATGCAGGTGCATATGGGCCCGGGCGTATTGGGGGCCCGCCGAGCCGAGGGGGAACCTTTAGGCTAATTGAAACGTAGGAACGAATAGAGCCCTGCATGGGCCCGGCCCTTCCGACAGCATATCAGAATTCTCTCGGCCTGAGTCTGAGGAGAGTGGAAGCTGAAGCGCGCTTTGTTTGTATTCGTCTGATTTTTTCAACATGCATTCAAATATTTATTAGTTTATTTCATGCTGCAAATATTAAAGAGGAAAATATCATTGATTCACATGCAAACTTAAATCTTAAACTACAAATTTAAGAGCATAAAAACACATTTATTGTTTGTAGTATTTTATTATGAAGTTGACAGAAGGCTGACATGACACTTTGTGTTTTAATATAAGTAACAAAGCACAAAGCTTATTGCGATTATTGGGTGGCTTGCGTGCTACAAATGATGAATGGACTTGAAAACGTTAAATATTATTTCCAAGCATTTATACCGTAAATAAAACAGCTTGTGAATACACGTAACGTTAATCACTTCAGAAAAATCAACAATAAGTTAACCGAGTTGGAGCTAATAACGTTGTGTGTATGTGTGTGTGTAAAATTTCTTATAATAACAGTTCTTACTTGGCCTCAAACATCCTTTCCAGCAAGGATTCAGCTACTGCCTTCTCCTTCATCTCCATAGGGATGCGGTCGGTTGGACGATGGGATTCCACGTCATTTAGTTCATGCTCATTGGGAGTCATTCCCATCATCCTCTTTTGCCTAATGTGGGAAACAAGTAAAAGGTAGACAGGTATGGTAATCGAGCACCAGGGATAGATGAGTACTTGTTAACAGGGCCTGACATTTAGCTTTTCCAAGACTTTACAAAAATGTAATCTTATATGTAAACATAATGTGCATTGTGAATGCAAAGTGCTCCAGGTTCACTTTATTTTGAAATATACTTGCGGGCCCCGTGACTCTCACCTGAAGTCATCCAGCTGCCGCAGTATCTCTGGACTCTGCATGAACTGTATTTCATAAGCAAAGCGTTTTTGTTGTTCTTCGTTAATCATTTCAGGACGCATGCGATCTGAAGGACCACAGTGAGAGAGATAAATGGATTTAATGTAACTACGGCAATAACACAATATTAACATTAAGTGCAGTGATCTGATTTCACTCACCCAGTTCAGAGGCTAAGTTATTTGGCATAGATACTTTAAGAATCTGGAAGAGAGAATAAACAAATAAAGGATAATTATAAACAAATTACAGTTAACTCTAGGTTTTATTTCAAATAAATAAGTATGGAGAGGACATTATAAAATATAAGCTAAAACTTTGATATTGTCCTCCAGTGTTAGATGTAATGCAGTACAGCACCACCAGAGGTCACAACAATATAAATAACCAGAGAACTACTTTCTTTCAGAGGCTAAGTTATTTGGCATAGATACTTTAAGAATCTGGAAGAGAGAATAAACAAATAAAGGATAATTATAAACAAATTACAGTTAACTCTAGGTTTTATTTCAAATAAATAAGTATGGAGGACATTATAAAATATAAGCTAAAACTTTTATATTGTCCTCCAGTGTTAGATGTAATGCAGTACAGCACCACCAGAGGTCACAACAATATAAATAACCAGAGAACTACTTTCTTCCATTTCATTTTCAGCTCAGTCCACAGGTCCATAGCTTTAATGTCAACTCAAAATGTGCACAGAGAGAGAAATATTCAATAGGAAAAGAAAGACTAAACATAAAAATAAAACATGAAAAGGGGGGGGGGGAAGCAGTCATTGATCAGGGGAGGTCATTCCCATGACTCAAAGCAGGAAGTCAGGGTCGGACAAACAGAGAAAAAAGAGAGACAGAGAAAGAAAACATTTCTAAAAGAGGGGTAAAGAATGCAGAAAAAAGTTACATTGGACAGAAGGGGCAGGCAGACAGACCGGAGGAAAAAGACAGAAACTTCAAACAATGAAATCAAGTCTAAACAGAGACAGATTGGGGAGAAACCGACGAAATGACCTGATATATCATATGAAATTGAAAGAAAGAACTGAGTAACATACTGTCCATTTCTAATTGCATCTAATGACAGTCAGAAAGAACCATAAATCTCACCCATAGCAAATATGACATGAAAAAGCACAGAAATAAGAACTACATTCAATCCCATTAATGTAATTAAAAACAGCCTAACTTGACAAAGATTTCAGTCATTTTAATGCAAATTTCAAGCTATGATACAACTTTATTGGTCTAAAATCATTTTAAACAGCTTTCTAATTAATTGAGGTTACATGGAACATTTGTACTTTTAAAAACATTTTTAAAATTTTGTTTTTATGATTCATAAATAATTTTTTTGAAAACTCTTAATGATAAAAGCCGTCCATGGACATGTGAGGGTTATGCATCAACTACCATTCTGCATTTTTATTTCACCAGAAATGTCTTTACAAATCTCTTCTTTTTTTTTCGTACTTGCTGCACTTGTCTTTTTATTTGTTCCGTGTGTATTTTCATATTAATCTGCCTCATTATTTCAGAAAACAATATACTAAAACATTAGACAGCTTTCTTCACTTTGAAAGAAAACGAGCTCAAAGATAAGATTGACGGACAGCAGATCACCTGTGTGATAAATAAAATACAGCTTCAAAAAAAAAAATCCCCAGCATTCCTTTAGGGGGTCTAACAAAATCATAGACAATAAAATAAGGGGTGGACTGAAAAGTGTGACAGAACAGAGAGGCCGACTTGTAAAGTGATAAACAAACTCAACAGCCGAATGTCTAGAACCCTTCTTGTTCACATACCGCTCCTTTTTCCAAGAAATTGTTGTAGAATTCCCCAAAGTGCTTCTTGGTGTCTTTGGCATTGAAGTTCTTGAAGAGGTCAGCATGAAGGTAGCATAGCTAAGACAAGGGGAAAAGAAAGAGAGAGAGATCGAGTGAGGAAGATTAAAGAAAGACAAAACTGACAGATTTAGACACCAAGAATAGAGGGATAGTAATACATGCTAGGTTAACCTATAAGTTGGCTTTATTGACTGAATGGAGAAGCAACTAAACATTTCAAAATTTCAGAGACTTTTTCAGAGCACATGCTGACCAGTGAGAAAAGAGTATTAGGAGGGATGACAGGGACAAATGGACCAATCGAAAATTAATGAACACAACATTTGGATTTGAAAGCAAACATAACTTGTCAAACTCAATATTATATTAAAGGAAAACAATATAGGGTAAGATGTCCACCTTCATTTTATTTTTCCCTTGACCACAGATATCACTAAATCAAATTTAATGAATGGTTATGCTCTAAATAGTTTACATTTTTCTGAAAATCAACATCTGTGAGATTTATCCTATCTGAACAGTTCTGAAGTTGAATGAAGAAAGAGATGAAGGATTTGGGATCTGGGAGACGGTACCTGGGGTAGACCGCATTGGCTGCATGCCAAATAAAGGAAGAAATACTCATGCTTTAAATCACATCTAAATACATGACACACCCACCCTCAAAACACACACAAGATTCATAGCTGAACAAGAGGTAATGTAAGAAACACACTGAGCCTCACATAGTAAAGTAAATGCATGCATGCATTGCGCACTCACAAAAATAAACAGCCACACATCGTTTAAGTTCTTACCACAGGAGCACAGTCAAACTGTAACATGACATGATGAATGAAGACCAGTAGGTGGGTGGGCCTGGACTTCAACAGCTCAATACTGTTAAAGTGACTGCACTGATCATCCACCATCTGAGAAAAAAAGTGATTACAGAAATAAAAAGTAATAATAATAATAAATGGGAAGATTTTTTAAATGTTCTGAAAGAAGTCTCTTATACTCACAAAGTCAACATTTATTTGATCAAAAATACTGTGAAAGGTCATAATTTAAAATAACTGTTTTCCATTTAAATGTATTTTATTCTAAGTGTAAAATTTTTTTTATTTATTCCTGTGATGGCAAAGCTAAATTTTCATCAGCCATTACTCCAGTCTTCAGTGTCACATGATCCTTCAGAAATCAATCATTCTGATATGCTGATTTGCTGCTCAGGCAACATTTCTTATTATCAAAATATCAGGATAATTTGATGAATAGAAGGTTGAAGAGTACAGCATTCATTTAAATTATATATATATTTTTTACATTTTATATTTCTTTACTGTCACTTTTGAACAATTTAATGCAAACTTGCTGAAAAGTATGCATTTTCTTCCAAGCAAAAAACAAAACAAAACAAATTCGAATGGTAGTGTACAGTATATAATCCTAATATTTTTATATAACTAATTGTTTAAGGCTTGTGAGCATTTGAAGTTAAGGACCAGGGTTTTGTTGATGCATGCTGTTACAAAATTGTTTTAGTATACCATTTTATTTAATACATTTACAAATTATTGCATTGCATTTATGCCAAATCTGTACTGCACTATAACATTAAGAATTGCATGAAATATATTTCTAAACACTTATATCTGCTTAAATTAGAAATATAAATGAAAAGGAATTATTCCAAATATTTCTACCTCAAAGATTCTAAAAGAATCATTAAGGAACAGGAATATTCACTATTTCCATCCATACTAGTTCTGAGCTAAAGTATAACTCACAGGTTGCTCATCATTCTCAAAGTCTTCATCCTCTGCTCCAATTATGTTCATGGCTGGATTTGAACACTGAGCACCTGATGGCCCGCGCTGTCGAGAGACAAAGAAGAGATGAAGAAAGCATTAACAGACATAATCTTGTAAAACGATGTTTGCAGGTTCATGCTCTTTAGATTAGTAGACTGAGTTTCATTACAGGACAATAAGGATGACTTGATGGCCCGGGGCCAGGCTTCAATATTCCACAGTAGGAAAATGTACGAACAAATTCAATAAAGAGGTTAAAGTTTTGTTAAGAAAGTAAAAAAAAAAAAAAAAGCATTGCAGCCAATGACACAATACAGTTCTTTCCACAATACAAAAATGATCATGGATTAAAAACAAAGCCCTTAACAAATGTTACATGCTATGTGTAACATTATACTGCCATTATCTGATAAATTATAATTAAAAGAGAAAACAGTGAGTAGCTGCCACAAATATTCTGACTTGAGGCTAAATTAAAAAATTAATGCTCTGAACCGGAGCTCAGGGAGCCAAGAAGAACATTTAAACACGGAGGAGAGTGACTGAATATTCATACTCTAGCACCTAAATGAAGTGCATTCTTTCACACGAGATAACACTGTGATCATATTTCTATTTCTTTCTACCTGTTGATAAAAAAAACCTAAAATTCAATCAGAGGAATACTCCATAGACCAGTCCAATGAATCTTGGCCACTGGCTGTAAATGCAACAGCGTTCTACTGTGAGAGCTGCTGAGAACAAATTTCCTCTGTCGCTGTTGTGCAATAAGAACTCAGTGGAAAGAAGCTGAAAATCCATGTGCAAGCCGAACTCCAGCAATTCAACAGACTAACAGTGTTTATTTTAGTAGAAACAAACAAGCAATTGTGACAAATACTACAAGCACAAATCGAGCTAGTGTTTTCTCTGTGAAAATGTTTTAATCTCAGATAAATTGTGCGTGTGTTTCCTAAACATTTAAAGGATAGTTCAGTCAAAATGTAATGTTGTTATCATTTACTCACCCTCATGTCGCTCCAAACCTGTACGACCTGTATCAGATTGCAAGTCATACAGGTTTTGAAAAACATGAGGGTGAACAAATGATGACAGAACGTTAATTTTTAGGTGAACTATCACTTTAAGCAGAGAGAGAGATACAAAACAGTCAACACAGATCAACATCATGTCAGAGCAAATCACAGCAGTGGTGTTTTGTTCCTGAATGAATTAGTGGTTTTGAACAAAGCAGTTGAATTAATGATTCATAAACGCGTCACTTGTTGCCATCTAGCATAAAACAGAAAGCAGAAAGATTCACTACAGAGATTGTGCATGATAGTGTCTCATAACTCTGCTATGTTTACCAGTGTATGGCCCAGACTCTGCTAGACCCCCTTCGGGTTGGTGAGAACATGGAGGAGTGTAAACTCACGGCAAAAGACACTCTGAGACGAGTCAGCTGTGCCACCCCACCTACTACAGCACATTCCTGATTTTATTACGCATCCAGAAACATTTGTGTCTTGGCAGCTGTAATGTCTGACAGTTTATGCCATTGTGTATTAGTTCATTCATTGTCTTTAATAAGATGTGATTTTAATCTAATTACACAAATAAAAACTCTTTTATTACCCTTCAATAATATACATTTCATATACATATGACTTCAATAAACACATATTTTTGTGTTTATTGTTAAACAAATGTACCTATTAGATTTCACGTTAATATTTCTGATTCTAAGTCAGTTATGTGAACATAAAACAGTGTTATATTATAAAAATATAACATTTAACAATTAAATAATTAGCATTTACTAACTACTACTACTACTAAATAATAAATTGCAATTACAATATATATTATTTAAATTAATTATTAAATAAAACGTAATTTCCAAGCACACTGTACTAAATTTGTACCAAAGCCAAAACAAATTAAATAAATTAAATTCAAATAACTAAATGTATTTATTTATTTATGTTTATCAGCAACAATGGCTATATTCATGGCAACATTAAAAATATCATTTCAATACATCATTTACAATAATATAACATTTTCTTAAATATTTAATTGTAATGTATTAAAATAACACATTTAATAATATAATTATATATAAAAATATATTAACTTGATTAATTAATACATTTTTTCTTACACTTTTTTTTTTCCTGTGAAAATATTCTGTTTCCCAGGCGCATTGTACAAAATTTGTAATAATCAGAAATACATGTAATTATAGTTAGTTGTATTATATTAAACACTAAATTAAAAACTACATTAATAATAATAAAACTGTAATTACTATTTAAAAAAATTTATAATTAAATTAATTAATACATTAAAAATAATTTAAAAAAAAAAATTTCTGTGAAATTTTCCACAAACTCCCAAGCACCCCCTTGAGGCCTCCTGAAAACCACCTTGAAAATTCGTACTCTAGTTGGTTTTGTAATAATGTTGGAAACTGTGATTACGCCATCTCTGTTACCAAATCAGAAGCAGGCCCCTTATAAGAACATCAAGAATGAATGGAAACAAACAAACACTGGCAGCTTCAGATGTCTTTACCCCGTTATGTGCGTCATCGCAATCCATGCTGTCGTAGGTCGCACCAACACCGGTAAACCGGGCTCCTGCAAAGACACAACATCATGAAAGCCTGGAATGGCGTCCTTTGTCAACAAGACAAGCTAATACAAACACAAAGCTGAGCACATACAAACATACTGCCAGGAGCAAATCCAATTGGGCCATAGGATAAAAGTATATAAAGCGGCGAACAACAACATCAAGATCAGTCAATAAATCAATAACAGACAGACCAATGTGGAAGAACTAGACCCAGATGCGGTCTACCAATAAAGATGGTTATGAATGAATAATAGTGACTTCAGTTCTCAGCGGTCAAACGATCTAGAATTCAGTTTATTTGTTGTGTTCCTTTCCTTATTATTCTCCACCTTTGGAATAATAGATATGATATCTTTACTACAGGAGAGATTTGAAAAGGTTTGTTTGCTTCTTATGATCTAATCTCAATGAACATCAATGACGGCATAAATCGACTGTATTGAGTCTCGCAGTGAAAGTGCACTGACTTCTGGACAAAAAAAAGAAGAAAAAAAAAAAAAAGGCAGATAGCTGGGGAATGCCTTTGCATACCAGACTACCGCATGCAACTGTTCAGACAATGGCCTTGTCCTCTGCACTGGAGCAGTACGATAGCACAGGCCTAAAATAACCGCTAATGGAGCTGTGTTTGTGTTCTGGTTTTATCAGCTGCTTTAATCAGCCATGTCTCTGAGATCTTCAAAGCTTTCCAAAGAGCAGCGTCTATAGTGCAGGCAAGCATAAAGAGAAAAGAGAGAGAGAGAGAAAGGAAGTGGGTGTAATTTCCTCAGGAAACGATCACAGCCATTTTTTGTCAACCTGTCTGCAAAAGTCATGTTCAGAGTATCAGAGAGCATAAAACAAAGGAAAAAGACAAGGAGGGACAAACACATACACAAGAGTATGACACACAAAAGCGTAAGGTGAAAAGATTTATGGCACTTTCCACAACTCGGGTACTCTTTGGGGTCCCATTAGTGTTTCAATGCATTACAGATAGAAATATGATGTTTTAATTTGTAGAGAGAACTTATATGTGCTCTTTATTTTCATCAAACATATGTTCCATGAAATATTATCAAATAAGCATGAACAGAAGCTAGTCTGCAATACATAAATGTCTGTAAACCACATAAAATGGAGATTTCTGTCTTGCAGAGGTCTTGACCTCTTGAACTCTAACAATTAAAATAATACAAAAGACACCAAAATAATACAAAAGCTAAGCAGTTTTTTATTCAACTGATATTCAAATCATTTCAATTGATAAAATGTATATAAGAAGTTCATTAAATTTTTAAGTAAATAATTTTTAATGACAGAAAATGACTGTTGTTGCTATATAATAATAAATAAATAAAGAGTTTTAAACTATTTTAGTATTTAACTATTTAAGTATTAAGTTTAGAAAATAAATTAATATAATAAATAAATAAAACAACTCAAAACAAATATAATAACTTTTTTTTTTTT